CTATAAACCGAGCGGGTGATTAGCACTTAACGTCATATCTGAATTATGAACAATTGCATGGATTGCTCGTAAGAACGAAAATTTGTCAACTTTCAGCGTAAATTCCAGTAAGTTGTGAAAAACTATTTAGGGTTTTTGAGGGTTTTTGAGAGATTTAGAAGTCTCGAACCGATATCGTTCATTTCTCATTTGATAGGGGTGTTTCACCGATTCATCTGAAACAGATAAAGAGACTGTGAGGAAGATTATCAATGGTATTATGCAGATTTGCTTCTTAAACAATACAAATTTATCAACACACATTTCTATCTGACCGTATAACTGAATTGCTATTGCCCTGTATACTATCATACAAGTTTATCGTTAGTTGTTGTCGATTCATTTTAAACTGTAATAACATCGGTACTCATCACTATAATCATGGTTTGCATGATGATAACCTTAGCCGTTGTAAATGTTAATATTTTGAAGTTGAAGTAATGGTCTATTGGTGTGAATTAAGAATAATGGTGGTGGTTCTGGCCTGTTTCCACTTCACCGAGCTGTTTTTTGAGTAGTAACTGTCGCACTTCACGAGGTAGTCTGGCCTCGATTCCGGTGGCGCAGATAACGAATGGTGTGTTACGATAGAGTCGTCGTATTGTTGGGATCCACTTGAAATTATTATTATTGTTATCATGATTGTTATCAATGTGTCGCGATTAATCTTCATCAAATTCTTCTTCGGACACATTTTACCAGAATGATTTACGCTAAGGTATATATATGTAATAACCAGTGCAATTTATACATTCATAAAGAACTAAAAGCCACAGTTGAGTCAAAAAATGTTATGGTGTTTGATTTTGACTTATACAGAAATTCATACAGAGCTGGGACATTTGGCTAGAACATTTCGATTTTTTCACTTATTAGACAAACTATTTCTTGAATTATTCCATTGTCGTATTGGAGTTTTTTGAACGATTGAAATTATTTTATTCAGTAAAGTTTTCCGAATGATTAATTTGCGTTAAGCATCGCATGACGAATGCGTATAAGTCTTGATTCTATCATATTCATCATGACATCGCTTGAAACAGCAGTTTTATCGTGTCATTCAGCATTTATACTCATCAAGTTCAATACGTATTAATAGTCATTAAGTTTTGCATCGATTGTATCCAGCTTACTGAGATCAATGGATTGGGTTCGGATATAACCGTAATGCGTGCATAATCCCTTATTTGAGTGTAAATGTGACAGATGAACCATTACTATTAATGGCTCATTTTGTAAGGTATTATGACACTATTGCAGTAGGTGGATTGTGGAAATGTAATGTAATCGAAAACCTTTTGATGAATGCTTTCAAACTGCTTCAAACTGTTGATATTATAAAATATAATGATGGCATCCAGATGACTGCATCGCAGCATCGATGGTATCCGCTCGAAATCTGATATTCTCTCAGCTGATAACAGCTCTATCTGTAACAGAGAACTGATCTTATCAGTAAGATGATCGATGTTTCCCATTGATAATCTGATTTGCTTGGAATGTCATCCTGATCGTTGCTGTTGTGAATTCATGTCGAATTCCTCATTAATTTGTTCATCCCGTCATTTTAGTACCGTATTTTTATCATACACTGATATAAATTACTATCGATACGTCTGGCTATTAACAGATCAATGATACTATGAAAGAGTGTGGCATACTATTCGATTCCGAGCAAGGGATGCTCTTGAACCCTATCATATACGAATCTTCTCATGGATGCTCACACCTGATCGACTGCTTACTGATTAGTTGTGATGTCTCTATTCCAGTTAAACTGTTCTATTCAGTTCTATTCCCGTTCTGTTCCATGGTATAGAATAGAGCAGTTCGTAAATGAGGAAGGAACAGCTTGTAACAGAATAGAGCCGTTTTCGAGCCCAAAAAACAGAATAGAATAGTTTCCAAAAACGTGGTATAGAGTCATCACAAATTGTAACACTGAGTCTAACTCATCAGAGGGGAAAGTTTTGCTCGAAACAGAATGCTATCGAGCCTGAACCAACAAGCTGTTTCTGTTGGTGGTATTACTTCTTTAAAAAAGAGTTATTTAACCAGTTCGAGAACTCAACAACTCACTTGTATTCCTTGCACAGTAATGACATTTGCATCTAATACGTCGATTTTTTCGAATGTTCCTTTCTGCAAATAAACTCTCAAACTATCAAACACGACATAAAATTCATTTATGGGTTGTGATGTTGTATTTGTAAGTATAAATACAGATATATTGCATAAATATCTGATTTGGGGTGGACATACAGTTATGATAAGTGTGATACATATACATCTGATGAGCTAACCGTCACACATTGATGGTCTCAGCCCTAAAATATCTATCTATATGAAATAATATCTGCAAAATGATCAGAATACAGAATACAGTATGAAATTTGTTTGCAAACGTAGAATTTATTTCAAGTACAGGTGATTTATCGGATTTGGCTTGATTCACTAGGTTTGAGCTGAGTTGTACGTATGCACGACGGACGTTGTCCTTCTCGGAGCCACTATCTCCGACCAGTGCCACCCGAAAGTAGGTGATTTTAGTCGACGTGTCTGCTGAAATCTTTCACTTACTTATTCGGAACAATAATTCCACTTAAACGGCATTCATATTTGACCACACTTCAATTTTATCAATTATCAATTTATCAATTCAAACAAAAACATTGCAATTCCCTTTGAATTTCGGGTGGGTCGGTGATGGGTTCTGCAGAGTCATATCATTTCAGTTTGATGAGTATTATTTCATCACCTACACT